CAATTTCTTATAGAAAAATCATACAAAAATTCCGAAATTATTCAGAATACTCTGAAATCATGGTATGCAGGTTATACGTAGGCATGCGAATATGAATACATAAACAAACTATTTTTGACACAACGAGTTCATACCACCGGTAAATGTTGTTTTTGTTCGATTGCTACAACCTGTAGTTATTGAATCATGTTTTGAAATGAACGTTTTGTAGAAATGGTATAGAAGTCTTGAAAATCAATATTTTTCGATCGGAAAACTCTGTTTCTCTCCAAAAGACTCCCAATAATAAAACCCAATTGTTTATTTAACCATTTTTTCATAGTAACTATATTTTATAGGTTCGCCAAAACCCCTGAAAATTAAATGGGGAACCCATAAAAATCGTTGGTGTTACTTAGTAAATTGCAGATATTGCACAAGTGAAACAATATATTCCAGCAGAGTTTACAGAAGTTTATGACGAAATACTACAATGGCCAACTACAAATCAAAGAAAGCCTACAGAAAAAGATTTTTAGAAAAATCTGCCAATTATCCTTAATTTAGGTACTATGTTTAGTTTTAGGAACCTAAAATAAAAGTTTCGACAAATGTATCTGATTTTTTTCTTAAAATTATGTTAAATCAATACCGTAAATTTCGGAAAGGCCACATCTCATAAATTTTAAATATCTATGTATACATATATTTATAATGTTACTAGCCGGCCACGGATGCACGAGGCTTCGCCACGCGTTGAATGTATGCATATGAATGTACATTTACGTATTTGGAGAAAGCAATCATATATCATCATGTAATTCGTTTATTATATACATAAAAAATCTTGTCTAAATCTGTTCAGTAGCGTGGTTAGAATATAAGGAAAGGCGCCTTTATACTATGTATAGAAGATAGTAATTTTAAATTGGTGGCAACCCTACTCAAAAAACTGAAATTTTTTGTACATGCGAAGGCCATGCACTTTCATTTGGTATCTCAATTTTTTATCCAACGAACGGTGAAGATCTTACAGTTTTTAAACAGTGGCAACCCTACTCAGAAAAATGATACATTATTACACATCCAGAGGCTACGTATTTTCATTTGAAAGTGACGGTGCAGAACTGAGGCCTACGCTTATTAGAATAGAAAGGTCGCTCTCCAAACGAAAATCTCGTCAAAATCCGTTCAGTAGTTTTCGCGATTACCGCGTACAAAAAATCTCGACTTTACTTTATACTATGTATAGAAGAATAAATATTTCTTCAACTTTCAATTGATAATTGAACCCGAAATGCAACTACAATTATTATTTTTCAAATATTATACTTCTTTAGAAAATAATGTGTTTTTTACCTCCTGAAAAGTTTTAATACTCAGATATGTGCCTGAGACTTTCGATGAAGTTTATGAAAAATCGATTTTTAGCTTCCGACCTTTTATCTGAGACGGTTTTGCGAATATTTCTCCAGATGCCGTAAAATTTCATTAATTCGGCTACACATTTGTGGTCCTCGCGAATTCATATTCGTGCTTGTTGCCAAAATATTTTAGCTGCATCCCTTGCTAGTTTTGCACTATTCCTGGAATCTGGTGAGAAGCCCGGCCAATTAAGTCGATAATATATGTTTTTATACTTGAACTTATAGAAGAAGTGTATGCTTATTGCACGCCCGACATTCAGCATTTTTTAGCGAGGAAAATAATCACTTTAGAATCATATATTTAATACTCCTATATTGGCAGCATATATGTAATACTTCTATATTGGCAGTAAGCTAACTTCTCAACGTGTAAGCATTCCGAAAGCAGAGCTAGACAGTCTAGTACTGTTTTTGTCAATGTATTGTGTACTTGAGGGCTGTTTTTGTATATGTGTTGTGTACATGTTTATTTATAAACGTATGTGTTCCTTTTCTTTCGTACGTGTTTATTGATATATCTGTACTGTAGTGTTTTCGGACGGTACTAGCTCTTACTGCCAATATAGGAGTATTACATATATGATTGGCAGTAAGAGCTAGTACCGTCCGAAAACACTACAGTACAGATATATCAATAAACACGTACGAAAGAAAAGGAACACACACGTTTATAAATAAACATGTACACAACACATATACAAAACGGCACTCAAGTACACAATACATTGACAAAAACAGTACTAGACTGTCTCGCTTTGATTTCGGAATACTTACACATTGAGAAGTTAGCTTACTGCCAATATAGAAGTATTACATATATGTTTAGAATGATAGCATTGCTTTTTATTTTAGATTACTTGCTTTAAGCACACCTATGTATGTATAAGTATTAATAAGTCATATGTTTGATTACAATTTTTGATCTCTTTCTAACACTGACTTATTAATCAATAATACACTTTGTGCGTGCGCATGATTGCTGTTTCGTCGGCCCGAAGAGTCAGTTCGCAAAAATGTACTGAAGCGAAGTATCTCCAACACAGCTGGTTGCTGCTGTGTTTACAATAAAATTCGAAATTTAGATAAAACTGCTCTGTTTTTTTTTTGATAAAGTTTTGACGACTTTAAACAATTTTCGTTTCTACCAAACGCTAACTAATTAACTTAAAATTTTTACTATAAGGGCCGGTTACTCAATGTCTGGTTAACACTAATCTCCGGTAAAACATCGTTATCGACGTTACCGACTCCATGTTATATGCATGGAGCCGAATACGTCGATAATGATGTTTAAACAGAGATTAGTGTTAACCAGACATTGAGTAACCGGCCCTAAGTCTTTCAAATAAAAAGGAAAATATATCCGGTTGGCTGGAACAAACTTTTTTAAAACAAGCCAATTCAACTCATAGCTTCAACACAAATAAATACGTCGTGAAACCGTCACTGCCATCACACGTATAAGCTGATTCGTGTTGCACTCGACAAAGCAATAAGACTGCGCTGCTACTCACAACAAAACAAGCAAACAAGCTGCATAGAAATCTACAAGCTATTTAAAATTTACTAGCTAAATACTTATCCATATCCCGTTGGACATACAATTGGATATGTTTGAAGTAAATCAAGTATGTGTATGAGTTGAAACTCAACAATTGTGCAGCAAGCAAGCATTTAATTGCTTGTGTCGAACCAAGGTACATTGAACAGGTAGTATCAGTAGAGCAGCTGATTTGATTTATTTTCAAATTATTTGGTCTCGAAAATGTCAAATATTTTTAATTTTTTCTCACAAAAATTCTGAATTGTTAAAATCCATTTGCATGTGAAACCTTTTTCCATACAAAACAAGCGATTGAATAGCAGCTTTTGGAACGTTCGCCCAACTCAGCAGCACAACCGCTGATTACTGGCCCTTGTAAAGGATGGATCAATGCTTCGAGAAGCAAACAAATTTACTAGGAAAGAAAGTTGCAACAATTTTTATTTTTTCCAATTTCATTTTTTTATTATTTTTGTATTTCACATGGCACCCTTTGATTTAGAAGAAAAAATTCAGAACAGTTGTTGACACTTTCGATACCAGAAGCAACAACACAATACACCCAAATATTGTTTTGCTCTACTGATACTACCTGTTTAATGTGCCTTGTGTCGAACCAAGCCCAGTGAATACAAGTAAGGCACTCCGCATACGGCTCGTCTCGTCATCGGCGCGACATTAATTTTTCATGCTGCGACGATGACGATACGCTAACAGGTCCACACACAATGCGACTATCTATCGTCGAAGTACGGGTTATCAAGAAAGTTGACAGAGAAAATTATACCTGGGGTTACACCATCCACATTTGCAAGAGCTGGTCGGCGGTGTATACACATTTTAAACCGAAATTAATAAATAAATTACTTTACCGAAGTTTGAAATCATTATTTTAAATTAAAGTTTGATTCTTTGGCTATACGCGTATGTTAAAACTTTTTGATTTGGGTCACACCTTTGAACACAATAATCCAAAATCATTGTGCAAATAACCGAGCGGTACACTTTCATGTACAGATACATACATACGTGCCCAAGTCATTTGTTGAGCTATTTCGCTCCAAGCTCCTTCTGTTGACTCTATTTTTGAATATTCCTGTAAATTATTATTATATAGGCACACGCGATTTTCGATTAATTGCACGAATTTTGTAATTTCACATACACGCAGAGACCAGTCGTGTGCGGAGGGCCTAAGTTTACAAGTAACTTGCTGCTGTACACCGGTGTACATACATATTTACATATGTAAACGAGTATGTGCTTTTTTAACCGACTTAAAAAAAAGGAGGAGGTTATCAATACGTCGGAATATTTTTTTGTTTTCTATGTAAGTTACCGCATAACTTTGGACCACGTTAACCGAGTTCTTTAATTCTTGATAAAAGAAAGGTAGTGCATCAGAGATGGTCCCATACAAATTTTGTTTAGATCCGACTATTGGATCATGAAGAAATTAACGGTAATCTTAAATTTTTAAATGAGAATTGAATTCGGTTTTGTTTTTTGCTTACAAATCACTTGGTATTATGTAGAAAGTGGATTGTTTTTTATTATACTTTTATACACGTAATTAATAAAAGCGCATATTTGGAAACTGTAGTTTTTATGTAAATAGGTACATAAATACATACATACATATATAACACCAGGCAAAATCGCAGATGCTAAGCCAAAAACAAGAAAAAAAAAAACATATCACAATTCATTTAGGTAATCAGGCCATAAGCACTTCTGCACGTTTGTTCTTGTAAAACACCTCAGCATAGAAAGTGCGCGGTCACATACATATGTACTAATTCTATTTCCATTTGAAAAATTTGAGCATCGCTGCAGCAGGTAGATTCAGTTTTGTTCTGTTGTTTTTTGCATTTGTTCGTATGATAAAACCTTTCGTCAGTGTAGCAGGTGATTTGTTATACGAGTGAAGGAGAGATACAGTGCTTAAAATGCGAGCTGATGGCTTGCAAGCTATTTACACAGTGCTTGTGCAGCTCTCTAATATTTACTTATAAAACGTCAACACGCATGCAAAATATCTAATTTTAAATAATTTATTTGCAGATTCAATCTTCCAACTCTTTTGACATAAGAGCCCAAACAGCTAAAATAAAAATGGCCACTTTTAAATTCGATATACGGAGCATTTTCACTCAACCGATTGTTAAAATTTCATCTAACTTACTGCCTCACACGTTCCGTGGTGATAGAAGAATGGCCCTGTGAGTAGACAAAACATTGTATATTCCATTTAAGATTTATAAATTCTTATATTGATAAAAGGGGAAAAACAATAAAAACAACTAATTAAATTATTTGAATGTCATCGTTTATCGTTCTTCACACTGTAGTTTTCGTATTTACGAACAATTACATTTTTAAAATTTACACTGTATGTACTATACAACCAAAAAACAAGTAAAAAGCCCGAGTTCCGGCCAAGCAGAATATTGAATACGCACGTGCTAAATGTGGGTTTTTCAACTTTCCGAAAACTACTAGTATGTTCGTTACGTTTTAAGTTTTTTTTTGCTCGGAAAACAATCGTTATTTCTTGAGTTTTATTTGTTGCTCAGAAAATAACACTTAATTTGCAAATACAAATACAAGGGCAGAAACAAAGACAAGGGCAACNGACCACTACTAGTATGTTCGTTACGTTTTAAGTTTTTTTTTGCTCGGAAAACAATCGTTATCTCTTGAGTTTTATTTGTTGCTCAGAAAATAAAACTTAATTTGCAAATACAAATACAAGGGCAGAAACAAAGACAAGGGCAACGACAAAACCACAGACACTCACAACCTATATTGAAGGATCAAGCCAATGATAAAGATGAAGAGCAGGACAAAGTTAAAGATAAATAAAATGACAAAGATAAAGGGAGATGAAGATGAAGATGAGGATTTATCGAATATTTCGTATTTCTTTTAATTACCGTTATATGGGATGTGGGCGTGGTTATTGTCTGATTTTGAAAATTTGATAGGTTTTACGAAGACCAGCCACTGTGCCAAATTTAGGTGAAATTGGTGAAGCGGTTACCGAGATATACACATCGAAACATAAGTGGGCGGGGTTACGCCCATTTCCCAAAAAATTTCCAATATTTTTATTTTCCGCCTAAAGATAATTGTAAATATCAATTTTAAGCGTGTAAGCTTCAGTAGTTACTAAAATATCGCATTTTCGTATATCTGAAAACTACCGTTATATGGGAGGTGGGCGTGGTTATTGTCCGATTTTATTCATCTTCTGTACCGTTCTTCCTACGCTCAAAAGAAGTACACGTACCAAGTTTCGTTAAGACACAGACGGACGGATAGACAATAGCGGTTTATTTACAAATATGCAGTATGATATTTTCTTATAATTTATTTAGTCCGCTCTTTTGCTGCGGCTACCTTGAATGCGACTTATCGACTAAACTTAACACAATTCCCCTTACTTATCCTAACCACAGCTGCCTGAGCCGCAATTGTGCCGCGAAACGTTGACAGCATTTCTGTTTATACAATACGAACCATTTCTGTTTATTCCATATCGCTGTCGATCGATCCGTTCATTAATCGATAGAAACATGCTTACGAAGCTGCTTGTGCAAAGTATTGCACTACACATATTTCATTCTAAGCGGAAGTATGGAATACAATGTGTGGCGCTGGAATGCCAAAGAATTAATTGTTTTCGCAATTACTTCGATTGCTTACACAACCTAAGCTGTTTGCGCACTTATGACAAGGCTCGTGTTAATTCCTGCCTGGCTTAAATGTGACCCGTCCTCGGTTCTCCTCAAACTTTCAACGAGCACTTGAATGACATCGGTTTGGCGTCGTGCTTTCATGCGTTTGAATAGTTGCACGCTGATGTAGCAGAGAATTAAAACAACAGTAGCTGCAAAAGCTGACAGGGCCAGATTTGCAATTAACTTTGTTTCCATTTCCCCAATATAACGTAGATTATCGATGTCCATTTTATGAAGGTAGGGGAGACTCAGTTCAGTTTGGTAGCCAGTGACATTTAGAAGCGGGGAAGCGACGGCGCCTGTAGATCGTTGCATTTATCTGAACCGTATCGTCAAAAGTTATCAAATACGTGCCGCTGATTGTCCTTTTAGCTCTGTATCATTCTCTTGCGTGTATTTTGTGATTAGAGAAATTTCATGTCAACGCGGCCACCTTTGTGTGCGACCTCTAAGGATTTGGATGAAAGTTGAAGAGATTAAAGGTATATTTCGCCGATATGACGTAGGGTTGAGTATTTACACGGGACTCAAATTTTACGAAAACATCATACATACCTTTCTTTAAAGTGCTGTATCTTGGGAACCTTTTAACGAAACTTAATGAAAAAAATGTATTTCTTCCGTCTTATTATGGGCTTTAATTTAAAATTTTTAACATTAATTTGAAACGTATAAAAAAATTAAGTAAACATTTTTCTTGATGTTTTTTTTTGATTGTAGCATTTGATTTTTGTTTTACATAAAAATATTGTCTGTAATGTCAACTTCAAATACCCAAATGGGCGTAATGGGCTACGAAGGCGTATGGGCTCTAGATCGTCTAACGCTCGAGCAATATGATAAATAGACATACAAATTTTATGAAATTGTATATTTTTGAATGAGGAAAGGTGTGTAAAAAAAACAATATGAATAAATCATTTTAACTTTACTAAGGTCTAAAATTACGAAAATCCCTTCAAGGAAATGCAGAATTGAACTTTGTTGCAAGTTCACATGGGTAACCTACTTGCGACGGGATTGGAAGAAATTTTAAGACTAGTGCAGTGATCACGCATACCAAATGCAATAACAGTGGCAACGTACTAATGCACAACCAAGGCAATATGAGCACAGCGACCTAGATACGCACTTGAGGGCAATAATATTTAGCGCTGCCGCTTGCAAGCAGAGTATTTCAATTATGCTCGCTGCCCCCGCTAACCGCTGCACAGTTTGATTGGTTGCTTCTCGATAACTCACAAGTAGAATAGTTCGACAACGTGCTCAGCTCTGTCAGCTGTGCTGCCAGCTGCCTCATCAGTGCTCGCTTCCACATTCGGCAATGCAATGATTATGAAAACGAAAAGAGAGAGGCGGAGTTATGAAAATTACTTTCGGTGACAAATTAGGTATAAATAGTCAAGATTTAGTGAATAAAACAGAAAATGAATGGCATGCTTTAACTTAATCATTTCTCCAAATTCGGCAACTGCAAAGCTGCCTAGATAAAGTTTTCGGCAGCCTAATGGCCGCCTATCGAACGGCAGAACCTTCTCTGCCTAACAAAGAAGAAGGTTAATATTAACAATATTACTATTAGGACCAACACATGGCGATCCTGCCAGTTTATTAAGATCGCCAACACATGGCGATCCTGCCAAATTATACTTTGAACATATGAGCAAACAGGACCACCCGGCCAGTTTTATTAAGATCCTGCCAAAGATATGGCAATAGGTTTTATAAATATAAGATTTTTTTGGAAGTCAATGTTTAGTGCCATCATGATAGCCATCACAGGCTACGAAGTCGGTAAGGATGCGCAACCAGTCAAAACAGTAGTAAGATACAAACCAGAAAAGGTGCAGAAACCCAAAATAAATGACAACAAAGACTTTGAATTCTATGCAGTCGGCGTCATGGCACTTTTTATAGTACTTGTGGCCATGTTAACGGTATTAGAAACAACGCATATAAACGCGGCCAAGGACAGGTACAACAGCATCAGAATACAACACATGCATTTTGGGTACAATTCTAAATTAGGTTTAAACCAGTATATAAATACATTACTTACAATTTATTGCATTCGTGTTAGTAATATTTTGCGAGACTACGTTATGTAATATAAAATATAATATTGAGGGTTCAGTTTATTATTAAAATTATTTGTGTATTTCTTAATAATAAATAAAATTTTTGAAAAACATAATTACATAAAATTATGCATACAAGTATACACCAAGATTAAAAACAAAAAAAAATATAATAAATATTTTTACATTAACAAATTTTAAAGACCGCTTACTGTCAACACGAAGATAGGGTCATTCCAATTTTGGCAAATAATGGGCTCAAATTTAAACTATGAACCAATGATCAAAAAATTCACATCATTTAAAGAAGAATTCCACAAATCATACAAGTGTTTAAATAATAATACCAAAATAAAAGAAGAAACTGTAAGAAAGCACATAATTATCTTATTTACAACTTTAGTAAACTTCAGATGGATTGGCTTAGATATATTCTAGCAACTCAGAGGCAAATTGCTTAAAATTTTATCAAAATACGATTTTGATATACTAATTCCCCATTCAATTACTACAAAAATATAAATCCCAACAGAAATTTTAAGCTCAGAGTCAACTCGAAGCATAAAAACAATGCCCGATTTTAATTTGCAACTTGCCTCAAAAGTCATTCCGAGCTTTTGCGGAAACTATAGGGACTTGGAAGCCTTTTTCAAAGTAACCGAAATCATATACAATGACTTATCTGAAGATGGCAAAAGTGCACTAATTGATTTTGTAGTTGACGTAAAATTAAGCCAAACGGTGAAAACAATCGTGACTGCAATACAACCCCCCAAACATTCCAAGAACTCAAAGATTTATTTTTTGTATATGTATTTATTTATTGAATATATTTTTCGAATCTAACAATAAGTTTTCAAATCTTACAAACTACTATTAAATTTAAAATTTCTGCGACAATGCTTACAAATTTTTTATTTTTTCATACATATATACATATTTATTAAAGCTGTTGCGGCTGTCGGAATGGACTAGATTCCGTGCAGCAGGATCGCTGGATATCGTGCTGGGCAGGCGGTCTGAAAGTACGAGTTCCAAAGCCGCACTGCCTGGGCGGGGGGAAAGGACTAGTTTCCACGCCGTGCCTTCGCTTCTCTATATTTACGTTATTACAATCCAGTAGGCAGTAGATTTATTAAAAAAAAAAATATATATATATAAAAACAGCAACAATACCACACGTCCAGAACCAATTAGCCAACATCGGACAAGTAAATTCCAGCATCACGAATTTCAAAAACAAAATATTACAACTGGTGTCTGAACTAAATACTCTGCAAATAGGGCAATTGGGTACGAATGCAACAAACGAACAAAAAAGCATTGCTGTGTTTAAAAATGGACTGAATGAACAGTTCAAGCAAACCGTACCCAAGTCTTTTGATATCGCTGTTGAACTTG